AAAGAAAATACAGTCCATTAGATAGATATTTATAAATTTTGCACTCAAAATATCTCCATTTGTGGTTTTCGTGAACAGGACCAAGCGTGAAAGTCCCAAATACGGTGATCCGAAATCCCTCATAAAGGCTTAAAAAGGTAAAATTATCTCGCTTATTAAATTCAAATCCCACACTCTCTTGGAGTCCAGGTGCGCACTTGTGATTCATACAAACTTTATTGTTTGCGACCGCCTAGTAAAACCCGATTGTATTTGATCACCCTCTTAACCAATTTAATCACTTTCGCTCATTCGACTTCGAATGCTAGGTCTCACTAGCACTGAAGATAAGCCAAAAAGTCCCAGAATGAGCGAAGAAGAAAAAATTCTCGAGACCCCCGCGGAGTCTCAGCGCCCTACGCGATCAAGCGGAAAGCCAAAAAATCAAAACAATCGGTCATCTGTACTAAATTCATATCGGAGAAAGATAATTTGATGGATTACTGCGCCCGATTCAGATCAGCCCCGATCGAAGAAAATACTGAGTCCGTATTGAAAATAAAAGACAAGAGCCTAGAAGTTCAAAACGCCTTTGATTCGACTTTGGAAATTGAAGAACATGACCTCCCCGAAGACTTTAGGGCGTCTGCCTACAGTAAATATAGGTCATGTTGAATTATATATGAAGAAACAAAAGCCCAAATCGGAGACCAACTCCAGTTAGTAGCACAAACCATAAGTCCCACTCCCAAAGCCAGTTCATCACTTCCTCAGGAAACTTCGGGCATAAGCTTAAACGTCCCACCTTGCGACACCGAAACCTTTTATGGGGGTTATGAGCAATGGCCGTCCTTCCGTGATATGTTCACGGCGGTCTATATAAATCACCCTAAGCTCACTAAGGCGCAGAAGTTATACCATCTCATGTACAAAACGCAAGGAAAAGCAGTCCAAATAGTTAAACAATTCCCTCTGAGTGACGATAATTTCGAGCTGGCATGGGAAGCACTAAAAGCTCGCTATGAAAACAAACGGCTTTTAGTAGATAACCAAATCCGCATCCTTATGAATCTAAAACCCATCCCAATAGAAAATAGCGAAGACATACAGAGACTGCAATCATCGGTGAATAACTGTCTCCAGATTCTAGGCACCCAGCAAGTCTCCACCGAAAGCTGGGATCCCATTCTGATCTACCTGGTTACCTCCAAGCTTCCTGAGAACACCGTGGCCCTATGGGAGCAATCCCTCAATTCCAGGAAAGACCTCCCGAACTGGTCCCAAATGAACCAGTTCCTCACTATTCGATACGAGGTGGTTGAAAGGGTTGATCAATTTCGTGCACCCAAACCTCCGCGGACTAATCCTTCGAACATAAGCTACTCGAGGCCAACCGCCCCTAACAGTAGGCCATTCCCTAAACCCCCCACCTCTCAGAACTCTCACAACAACTCCTTTTCCCAAATCCGAGCGTACATGACGGAACAACGCACAAAACCATACAAATGCCCAATGTGCAATAAAATTCAACACACTCTCTCTCAGTGCTCCAAATTTCGTCACCTGCCAACTCAAGATCGCAGAAAGTTTGTGAGAGAACACAACCTCTGTTTTAATTGCCTATGTCAGACCCACTTGATAAAAGACTGCCCAAGTAACGGCATCCCTCAATTCTTCATGAAGACACGCCCCCCATGCCGCCAAGACAGCAGTCTCGAACCCAAAGAACGACATCTCAGGTCGCTCTGACGACGCCCACTAATTCCAACCCACAAAGTTCAGCTGGGTCGGAAACAACTCACGAGGAGCCTTCTTCCTCAAATAGAGCAAGAGTACAGTCGTTCTACTCGGAAAATGAGAGCAAGATTCTCCTTCCCACAGCAATGGTGCCAGTTGAACACAGGGGCGAGATCTTCAAACTCAGAGCTCTCATAGATCAGGGTTCGGAACGAACTTTTATTTCCTCCAAAGCTCAAAACAAACTAAGGCTACCGTACCAAACTTCTAACTTTGAAATTTCTGGCATGGGAGGCAGAGTTGTTAAGACTTCGAACAAACTTTGCCATCTCATCGTAGCCTTCGCAGATTTGACCACGAAAATAAAGGCTCAAGCAATAGTACTATCCCAGTTAACGAAAATGCTTCCAAAATTCCAGCCAACTCTCGAACAACGAGAAAAATGGTCTCACCTCCAGCTAGCAGATACTAACTGCCACTCCCCGTCCCAAATTGATCTGTTCATTGGCAGTGACCTCATTCCTGAAATAATGCTGGAAGGCATTGAGAAAATTTCCAAAACTTTGCTTGCACAAAACACCATATTCGGCTGGATCTTAAGTGGCCAACTTCCCGAAAAAATAGCCTGTTTCTCTACTCAAGCTACACCGATCTCCAATGAGGTTTTAGATTCCGAGCTGCGAAAGTTTTGGGAGCTAGAAGAGGTTCCGAAATCCAAGCTTACTTCGCCTGATGATGAAAATTGTGAAAAATTCTATCAGTCCACCACCACACGAGCAGCGGATGGTCGTTATGTAGTCAGACTGCCCTTTAAGCCAAGTTTCCCAGACCCTATCTCCCTTGGCTCGTCTCGCACCCCCGCCCTCCAACAGTGCCTGAGCATGGAAAGAAATTTGCTCAGAAAAGGCGATCTAAAATCACTTTACGAAAATGTATTAAACGAATATCTCACTCTCAACCATATGGAAGAAACAACTTCCCACGAGATATCTTCTCAAGGCAAATATTGGTCGTTCTACCTCCCACACCACGCGGTTATAAAACCCGAAAAAAGAACGACCAAAGTCCGAGTCGTCTTCAATGCTTCGAAGAAATCGGGGTCCGGACATTCCCTGAACGATGTTCTTTACACCGGACCAACCCTCCAGCCCGACTTGATGTTATTGATCCTCAAGTGGCGTATGTATCGATTGGTCTTTAACGGCGATGTCGAAAAATGTATCGACAGATACTGCTGCACAAAAACGACCAAGACTATCAACGAATCGTATTTCGACCATCTACAAATAGCCAAATACAAGATTATAAGTTGAAAACTGTCACGTTTGGTTTGAATTGCGCACCCTACCTCGCTATACGTACCCTATACGTACCCTTCACCAGGTCGTAGATGACGTACAAACCACGCGCCCCTTAGCGGTGCCCATATTAAACAATGAAACGTACGTTGATGATATACTTTCCGGTGGTCATGATCTCCCTTCAGCCGAAGAATCCCTCTCTCAAGTCATCCAAGCGCTCAATACGGCAGGCTTCCCACTTAAAAAGATTACAGCCAACCACCCTTAAATTTTGAAAAACATCAACAAAGACGACCTGCTTGACACAAACTTCCTAGAATTTTAAACAGCAAGCACCACTAAAACGCTCGGGATTCAGTGGAACGCTCTAACCGATACGTTTTCGTATACCGTTGATTCCATCCCAGCGTCATCCGCCAGTACAAAACGACAAATCATCTCGGCAGTTGCCAAATTGTTTGACCCCGCAGGATAGCTTACGCCCATAATGATCCAAGATAAAATCCTGCTACAAGAACTATGGCTGGACGGAACTGACTGGGATGACCAGGTCAAGCCCCAATCAAGCAATTTGCAACCAATCTCCAAGCCATTTCTAGCATCCAAATAACCCGATGGGTAGATTTTGTCCCCGCTGACCAAGTCGAGCTACATGGCTTCTTCGACGCTTCCGAGAAAGCATACAGCGCTAACATGTATGTGCGAACCACGAACGGTAGCAGGACCTCTTCTCATCTGCTGGTCTCCAAAGGCAAAGTAGCGCCTCTCCGAACCACCAGTTTACCCCGACTTGAATTGTGCGGCGCCCTTCTCCTAGCGAAGCTGGTCGCCGTAGTGCAGGATCAACTCGACCTCTCTAAGAGCAAACTGATACTATGGTCTGACTCCGAGATCGACTTGGCATGGCTAGAAAAACCCCTTCATTCATGGAAGACCTTCGTTTCCAATCGCACGGCACAAATTTTAGATCTCGTCGGAAACGCCACCTGGCGGCATGTGGGCAGCAGACACAACCCCGCAGATCTGGGCACCAGAGGATGCAGACCCCTGAACTTAGCGGCCTCTTCGCTTTGGTGGCATGGACCGGAATGGCTATTAAGCCCACCCGAAGCCTGGCCAAAACCGGCCACCCGAAATATCTCCCCTCCAGAATTGCGCCGAGTCGAGGCATTACGTGCCACAGAGGAAGATCACGATATCCTTGATCGCTTCTCCTCGTTTCCCCGTGCACTTAGAGTTATGGCGTATGCTTTCAAATTTATACAGTGTCTTCGAGACCGAGTCAGACAGGTTAGATCAAATAACTCCATCTCTCTTTCCCATGATGACCACCGTAATAGCAAATACAGGCTCCTAGCTTTGACCCAATCTCGCTAGTTTCCTCGGGAAAAGGCCTGTTTAGCTAACTCCAAATCCATAGATAAACGGAGTCCTCTGCTTCCCCTCAACCCGCCTTTAGATAAAACCGAGTTGCTCCGCGTGAATGGTCGATTAGCTCACGCCACTTTGAGCTATAATGAAAGACATCCCATCATTATTCCCGAAAAATCCTGGTCCGCCATCCTATTCACACGCTTTCTGCACGAACTGCTCCTCCATGCAGAACCTCGACTCATGCAGCAAGTCATAAGTCAAGAATTTTATATCCCTCGGCTTAAGCCCCTCATAAAAAAGTGCATCTTCCAATGTAAAAGTTGCACGGTCCACAAGCAGCAAACGCGATCGCAGATAATGGCGGCCCTCCCCACGGAACGATGCACGTATTCTCCGCCCTTTACCACTACGGGCGTAGATTTTGCTGGAACTTTCCAGATAAAGGCCTCAATGCTAAGATCGCACACGTTGGCTATGTGGCTGTTTTTGTATGTTTCACTACAAAAGCAGTCCACCTGAGCTGTGTTCCGATCTGACCACTGCCGGATTTCTCGCTGCGTTTGCTCGCTTCGTCAGACGACGGGGCTATCCCGCTAAGATGATGAGCGACAATGGCAAAACCTTTGTAGGGGCCAAACGAGCAACCGAAAAGGAGTTCATCGAATTTCTGAAGGATGTCATCCAGAAATACTCACCTCAAGGCATCAACTGGGAATTTATTCCACCAGGAGCACCCCACATGGGCGGTTTGTGGGAGTCCGCAGTCAAAAGTTTCAAAATGCATCTCAAAAGGACTGCTGGATCCAGCAAATTCACATTTGAAGAGTTCACCGCCTTGTTAGTCAGAATAGAGGCCGTATTAAACTCCCGGCCAATCTCTGCTCTATCCCAAGACCCCACAGACCTCACAGCGCTTACGCCTTACTTTTTACAAGGCGCCCCCCCTCTTAGCACTCGCTGACGTCGACCACAGTCATCTGTCCCTCCTTAATAGGTGGGAAAAAGTGAAGGTGTTACATCACGAGTTTAGTCGAAGGTGGAAAGAGGATTATATCAAGGATTTACAGAAGAGATATAGATGGAAAAATACCCAGGCAGAGCCGAAAGTCGTTGACTGCATTCTTGTTGTTGACAATACTATACCTCCCATTGAATGGCGTTTAGGCCGTATCGAAAGGTCACACCCCGGCAGAGACGGGCATATTCGAGTTGTCGATGTGCGCACCCAATCTGGCACCCTTACTCGCCCCATAGTTAAAATATGACCGTTGCCAATGGGTGACGCCGCTCTGACTTCTCCAAATGCGCCATAATTAAAGCCTTTAAGCACTTTCATGACAACAGACTCTCTTAGCTCATATGTATTTAAAAACCTGTATATGAATGAAATATTCTGATCCCACGTTTCTTCAATTGTCTTGTAGACTCCCCACTGATAGTCTAACTTCCACGGCTTACTTACAGATGGATACTTGCAGCAGCAGTGGCACTCCGAAACCAGCACCTCGAACATCGCTACAGCCTAAGCAACCGCAGCGGTCCGAAGTAGGCATGACGACTGACACAACTCCAGCGGCGCAGCCAGAAGGGGAAACCACCGATTTCAATCGATGCCGTCTGTGCGCACGACATCAAGCGTTGCGGGTATGCCAAGTGTTTCGCGCAATGCAGCCGACCCAACGTTATCTGGTCGCACGTGCACACAAATTTTGCACCACAGCAATGACTGTCCCTCCGCTGGAATCTGCAGGCTATGTCGTCAGTGTCACCATACCCTACTTCACCGGAAGACGGCACTCAGCAAAAACTCTCTGCAACACCACACTCCAGCATCGCGCAAAAGGCCTACCGCACATCGTCCACACCGTCTACGCCGTACTGAACTCAGCTCTAACAAGCACAAGCATCCGCATATGGGGCAAAAAGCGAAGAAAATCAATACCACCACCCAGGGAATCCGCCACGCCACAATGGAAAGCTGTCCAGTAAATTGCTCCGGGATGAAATACGTAAACTGCGGGAGCTAGAGAACAGTATAGTCGCTTAGCGCGCCTAGGTGCGGGAGAATAGTTAAACGAGAAACGTCTGTCGTTTAACACCTTGCAACGTATATGTTTATTACCTGAATTAATGCGAATTTTCTTCAACAATTGAATTACTCAAACTTTGTAAACATATTTTCCTTCATTGAATTGTTAATTCTAAAAGTTAAATCATTTCAAAATTGTTAACACTAAACTTGAGTTATTCAAAAATGTTAAACTTTATATTCTTATGCCTTGAATTGTTAAATTTGAATTTACATGTTTTGCGCTATTCAAATTAATACCCTCTATATTTTCTCATATTGAATTGATAAGAATTGTTAACCCTAAACCTAAAGAAATTTTCATATTGAAATGCATAGTTGGCAAGGCCAAAGTCGTTAATACAGTGCAAGCAGCAAATGTCAAAAAGAGAAACAAAAAAAATTTGATACAAAATTTTTCCAGTCACCTTTACGTGCGGTCGCAAAATTTTTCTAAAACTCGAATAACCTTTTACAGCTTGTTTTAATACATGATTCAATAATAAAAGGTTAGATAATTATTGACAGCCGCGGTATGACACTCCCTTACAAAAGGTTGCATTTACGAAGGACAGAGAAAGGGCGAAGAATTCAATCCCTTGTTGCGAAAATGGTAGTAGAACAGTACGCAAAATAGGCAATTTGTAGTGAAATTCCTTTTGTAAATTGTAATGTATTTGCAGGAAATCTGGCATTTTAAACGAAATATTGAACATAATATTACAGTATCTACGTGAATTACGTAATTTATGTGCTATTTAGCTGTATAAAAACTGCAAAAGGGCTCAAAATTAATATAACACTGCTGCGAGTTTTATGTAAACATCGAATTTAAAAAAAAATTATGTTTTCATCAGTTAAATGTGCTTCATATGTATATACAAATAAACATATTGCCCAAATCTTATACTTCTATTTCACACCAAAGCTACACTTTTTCCAAGTAAGTTTGCAAAGAAGCAACACGGTGCCACTGCTAAGGGAGCGGTGCGAGAGAGACAACTGTCAGTTTATCGAACCTTGTATTATTGAATCATGGTTTTAATAAAGAAAATTGTAAATTTAAATCATAAACATTCGGTTTATTATTTCGAGTGGTCATATCAGTCTCTCGCCTAGTAACTACAGGCGCGCGGAGGAAAATGCACCTCTTAGTATTTTTCGCTTTGAAAGTCGCTGGTGTATGCGCAAGGAAGCAGCCGCGAATTAGCGCCTGCGCCACGTCCTCCTACACGGAAGTGCAGCAGTCCCACCACCGCAAGTACCACCCCAGTGTCGATTATCGCCCATCGTCACCATCCATCACCAAAGAGCCGCCGAAATCTGCGCCAAGACCTCCACCACCGTCAAACTCTCCACTATCGCCAAATCCACCATCATCGCCGGAGTCAACGGCCAACAGCAACGAACCGCCGCATCCTCACCAGCCTGCAATCGCACACCAGCCCCCCGTCTGTCCACGTCCGGAGTTCAGCACCCAAAAGAAGAGCCGGCCCCCTTACTAGCTAGTTATAGAATAAAAACTAATTTAAAATGCATAATATGCCTATTTTTCAAGCTCACACTCAACTGTGTGCGTACGGAAAGCATTCGCATGTGAACGACAAGTTTTGACAGATTTGTGTGAGCGTCCATAAGAATACAAATGGAATTCTTTGCCTTTGCGAAAGTTCACGCTCATGCTCGCATTGAACTGTATATCAAGCTGTATGCAGCTCTCAAGAAAAGCAAAAACTCCATATAAAATGACGCAGCTCTGAAGAAAACGGTCAAGAAAAATTTGCAATTATTTCGTGTGTGTGTCCAAGGAATTTTGACATCTGATACTTCACCAGTCTGTTGCCTGACTCTTTCCTCAAGAAATAATGGAACGGGCATATATTTCTGTTGCAAACCTGGTGCTCCTTTTTCACAAAAAACTTTAGAAAACCGTAGTAGAAAGCGTAGCAAATTTCTTAAGAACTGCGTACTGCCTCAAGAAAATTTTACACAAGAAAATATCTTAGGCATTTCTTGTAAGTCATTTTGTATGGAATTTTTGCTTTTCTTGAGAACTGCATAAAGGCCTTTAAGAGAGAAAATTAATGAGTTTTGCGCGAACAGGAATTAGCAAACATTTGCAAGCTGCACTGCCACCTGGCGTCCACGAACATAATAAATTTTTTTAAACTATTTAAGGTGGAAAACAAAACAGGACCTAGACGTATTTCTTCTTTTAGTGACTTTCTTCAACATACGCTTCAATTTCTTTGTGGAAGTCACTGTCGGATTTCCTATATCGACAGTGGTGTCAACTGGGTTCCGATTACGATTACTGCTTTTTCAGCCGAGTACCTTTCAAATGTTTGAAATTAATTAAATTAATTTAATAAATACATATTTACATACTTCTTTCATTAGTAAATCGCAGCAAGATTGTTAATTTTTAAATTTAAAAAAATGCAACCGTGTGCCGCAATCCTGATTGCAAATTCATGCTGGCAAAAATTGGTACCAACTTGTACAAGTTTTTTGCATAGTGTGGATGATTAGTTCGGTGTTTTAACGTTTATAATGAATCGATGTTATTGCCTAGTATGTTCTATGTCAAGATATGAAATTTGTTTAATGTGAACACATGTAATTTATGTGCAACCCTGTTTTCATCTCGCTTTGCTTCGCTGTCCGCTTGCTCCGTTATATTTTGAAGTATAAAATCGTAACTTTTCGCCAAACGGAACCATTTTGCTGAAATTATATTGGACCACGCGTTTCAAGCGGGAGCGAAAACTGGGGTAACTGTCGAAATATGTATTTTTCCCCTTTACTATTTGTACTTCTTTTAGAAATAAACGGCTAAATGGCAAGTTCTACTCCAGCTCCTGCATTATTGCTGTGTGTACAAGTTTTATTTCCCACTATAGCTTAACGCCCGCCGATTCATTTCTTTGCAATTTATTAAGAAATGCTACGTTCACCGGTACGTCGCAGCCCTCGATTACAGCCATAAAATTCAACGCCAGCCGTCCAAACTACAACAAAGGTTACAGAACCAAGTGCCAAACCTGTGCCCGCACCAAATACCATATTTGCAGCGAAACCAAAGAGCACTCAAGTAACAAGTAGAGCACCTTCCAAGGCAGTGCAACTTAGCGCTCCAACGCGGACCACTTGTGTTGCCACCGTCGCCACCACTGCCACCGTCGCTGCCTCCACCGCCATTTAAAGAACCGTTACCACCGCTATGTCAGCACCAACTACTACCATAAATAATATAGTCAGCCCTGCTCATCAGGTAAGCGAAATTTATACAACAAATAATAGTGCCTTTGCTAAAACTGATCCGGGGAAGG